CACACACACACACACACACACACACACACTTCAGTTCTAACAAGAGCATAAGCTAGACTGATTTGATCTAACCGTGAAAGTCAAGGGTAATGACAGCATGACATATAAAGGATGAGTCAGCATTAAGAGAGGAGAAAGGAACAGCCTGTTTTAGGCAGAAGCACGTGTCAGAGCGTCCCAAGTCTTTCTGGTTTGACTGGCAGCCTCCTGGGAGAGTGGCAGGAGTGGCAGTAATTTTGGCAGCCCCGTTTGGCGGTGCCTGGCACAGAAACGCTCAACACGCGCGGACTGTTATTACAATCCTTCCTTAGTATTGAGCCTGGATGGCGGTGTGCTGTGGAGACAGCACCTAGAAGGTAATGGAGTGTGCCGCCTGACTTCTGAGGTGGTCAAATCCTGAAGGAAATATGGTTTCATGGTTCAGAGTATATGGCATTGGGGTCCCTTCCCTCCTGTCACGTTCCTTCTGACAACTGCCCCACATCCCCCCAGTGTCACATGCTACAAAGCTGCTTCTTTCAAATGCTTGGGAGAAAGTCAGCCTATTGTCACGAAATGTGAGAAACCTCCCTCTCAAACCTCCCGGAAATTTTAAATACCTCATGAGAGATGACTATTAGAATAAACTGTCACTTTTAGCTGCACTGATACTATCCACTTTAAGCAGAAGCTCCGTCTAAACCAGGAAGCCTAACAATGTTGCAACTTCCTCTACAAGAATCACTTTATTCTTGTAACAAATAAGAATTTTTGATGGAAAAGTTAAAAATGTCGGCAAAGACATGCAGGAAGTCACTCCCTGCTCCCAATTCCCAAAATGATTTCTCCGTCCTCTGAACACATTTTTCATGCCTCTCTCAGGACATTTCCCCATCTTTTAGCTTATATTGTAGATATTTATGTCCATGTCTGATCTCTTGAGGGCAGGGACACCCACTGACTCATCTTTGGATCTCTCAGAGTGCCTGCTGAAAATGGTTCCTTACACAAAGGAGGCGGTTGGTCTGTGTTTCATGAAGGAATTTACCGATTCTTGTCTAGTCCTGAGTCATGAGGACTTTTGAAAGAATGTTTACGTGGTATTCCTACGCAACTGAATACTTCTGTTCCTTTTCCAGACAGCAGTGCAGGAGAAGGGAAGTGAGCAGGAGTGCACAGGGTGGGCAAGGTCACCTCTGCTTCAGGCAAGTGTTGTTTTCTCCACCCCCACCAGCCATGGGAGTGGCATGAGGAGTGTGAAGAGGGTAGGAGATGCAGCCTCTCACCACTCATAGACCGCGATTCTAGTCGAGATGCTGGCACACTCTCCCCCTGACTCGTCAGAGGGATTGATGAATGAAGAACCACACACAGCTCCTTCTCATCACATTGTCTATCCGGAAGATTGAGGCTCTAATCTCACAGTGACTGAAGACCTTCACCTCAAAATGGCTCAACGTTGATATAGAGCCAGCATGGTAATTCAGCGTCGCCTCACATGCTGGCCCTTCAGGCTGTGTTTGGAAGGACTCTGAGTCCCTACTTGGGCTCGGCAGGAAGGCAGCGTTGACTTACTAGCGATACCTGGCATAAGGCAGGGACAGGAGCAGCAGCAAATAGGCCAAGATATGTCGTCCTGACCTAGTCCAATGCCCTCACTTCACGGGGAGAAAAAGGGGAACAGAAGCTCATGCCTTCACGCGCACATATTTATGTAATCCTCGGCCAGTCCTAAGGAGTTAGCATTATTGTGATTCCCTTTTCCCCGATGTGGGTTAGGGAAGGAAATTTTGCCGAGTTCACACTGGAAATCCTCATCTTTAAGCACCTCCCTATGCTGCCTCCTAATCGGTGGGCACTTGCTGTGTACCAGGCTAATGGTACTCAGCCAGGAGCGATTTTGCCCTCCAGGAGACATCTGGCAATGTCCGGAGACCTTTTGGTTGTGGGAAGAAGGTGTTCCTTGAGCCCTGGCCAGTTTGGCTCAGTGGATAGAGCGTTGGCCTGGGGACTGAAGGGTCCCGGGGTCAATTCCGTTCAAGGGCACATGCCCAGGTTACGGGTTCAGTCCCCAAGTAGGGGGTGTGCAGGAGGCAGCCAATCAATGGTCCTCTCTCATCGATGTTTCTATCTCTCTCTCTCTCTCTCTCCCTTCCTCTCTGAAAACAATATATATGAAGGTGTTCCTTGAATCTAATGGGTGGAGGCCAGAGACATGGCTAACTGCACAGAATAGTGCCCAGAACAAAAATGTGTCTGACCCAGACTGTCCAGAGTGCTGAGACTGAGAACTCTGTGTTAGGCTGTGTGAACGTATTTTCAGACTGATGCTCAATGAGTATCTCCATCTTACCAGACAAGGAAAAGGGCTCTCAGAATCAGGAAGATCACAAGCCAGGAACCCAGGGAGTCTGAGTCTAGAGGCCTCTGAAGTCCTCCCTCCATGAAACACCCTTCTCATCGGCTTCCTTCACTACCCAAACATGTCAACTCGTGCTTATGTATTACAGCTTTCAAAGCTAAGACCATTCAGCCAGCTATGAAGAATTTCCACCGCGGTGGTGTCCCTTCAAAGTAAGAAAAGGTATTTGTTTGATAGTTCAAAGAAGAGGCTCTTCAGAAGCTTTCTATGGAACCATTGATCTTGCTGAGCAGATTTGCAGATCAGTGCTGTAAAATAAAGCTCGGAGGAGAAAACCAATTTTAGGACATTAACACTCTTTTTCAAGAATAATTAGCTCTGCGTGGGATTCAACTGTAATTTTTTTTTTTCCTTTTTGTGTTTAGGAGCGGGTAAGCCTGGAAGCTTATTTAGGAGGAGAAGAGGAAATGGAGCTGTGAAAAGACACTATGATTCCTCTTGTTCTAGGAGGGAAGGTACAAGCTGAATAACTTTCTCATCCTGTCCAATTATTTGCCTCAAATACAAATAGAATGCATGTAAGATTTTCTCTTTCTCTGTCTCTCTGTCTCTCTCTCTCAGCTAAGCACTTGGTTAGCTGGGAGAAATTGAAGAAGCTAAAAATCCAATGCTCATTTCAACAATAAAACCCTATGCCAGTAACTCCCCATAGCATGTAAGGCTCATCCGCTGCACAGGATGATGTGACAGGGTAAGGGTGGGAGGTTGGGAGAGGAGTGGAAAAAGAGAGAAATAACAAAGGGAAGAAGGGGAGGAAAAATGGAACTTCTCACTGGGAGAGGAGTTTTCTGTAAAACCTCAAGAAGGGTTGGGAAAACATCCTCTGAGCTGCTCAGGCTATCCACTCCTGGTGCGGAGTGGCGGGGGGTGGGGATTCTGTAAGATCCTCTTAGTCATCCGATGTTAAATCTCCTGCAGGAAGGCTTTCCTTGTGCAGATGCATGCGGGCAGCCGGACCCTGGGTGCACTCTGCAGCTGGTCAGCATCCGCCTGCCCTCGCTGGCTACTTGCCAGACTCAAAACAGTCTCAGATCTCCCGCCGCAGGGAGGGCTCCAGCAGCGGGGGACCCAGCCTGATGAGTGAAATGGGAGAGCATGGCTCTGGCAGGGCCTCAGACACTTCCTTTGGGGTTGGCTGGGAAACTGGAAATGTGTCCGATGCCGCAGGTGGCAGATGGCGCTGGACGTTAACATTCAGGAGCCCCTGCTGTGCCAGGCACCCAGCCGGGCGGGCGGGCCACACTCCTGGTTCAGCTCGGGAAAGCAGGGTACCCGGTCTGCAGGAAGATCCCACACTTCGCCTTTGCTGTTCCCTCGGCCGGGGACGCTCTCTGGGGAGACCGGTTCCTTTCCGGGCTCAGGAATCTCTTAGAAGCCGCCTCCCCAGAGCGGCCCCAGGGGCGCTTCGCAGCTCCCATCGCACACATCACCGCTTTGGAAAGCTCTGCTTAGCAATGGCCTCGGTGCTCCCCGGCATTTCCTGGCGGCTTATATTTGCATTTTTTCCTTTGTTTATGGTCCGTCTCCCCGACAAACATACAAGCTCCAGGAGAGCAGGAGCCGGTGCACCATCGCGGCTGCGCGCCCACCGCGGGGCCGGCCGCACGCACGCTGTGGGCGCTGGGGGGATGCTAATCACCCTGCAGGTTTGCAGGCTCCAAACGTGGCTTGCATTGCATGCCAGGATCGACGAGGAGCGAGTGGGCAGCCCAGTCGGGTGGACTTCATTGCTTTTCAAGGAGCTCCTGCATGTTAATTTGAGGCACGAAGCTTTCTCTCTGTCCTCCCACCCCCTGCACCTGAACTGCCAAGAACAGAACCACCGCCCTCCTGGGTTTTCTCCTGGATTTTCTCCGGGGACCCGGCACGCATCTGCTCGGGATGTCAGGTCAGAGCCCAGGGTGGGGTCCCACGCCGAATCTGTCCATCACCCTGTGCCTGCGATCCTCCCTGCACCACCCATATTTTCCCTCCGTTCTCGATCCCTTTGCCTCAACCTGACTTCCTCAGGAGGTCGAGTCCTCTTTGCCCGTTCGACCCCACAAGTGTCCTCAGGGAGCTTCTCCTCGAACCAGCCTCCCCATCTCCCTCCTTCCCTGGCGGGAAACGCCCCGCCGCACATCTGGATGGAGCACCCATCCCTATCTGGGTGCCAGGCAGCGCGCCGGGCCGCGGGAAGCCCCTTCCCGGGCCCCACGCAGCTCTCACCTCCCTCTGCCCTTCGCACCTGCCGGGAACCCGTGCCCCCGACTCCCCCGGCTGCGTCATGGAATCCGTCCGCTTCTTCCTAGCGCATCGCCCCGCCCCCGTCCCCGGAGCCGACTCCTGATTGGGCGGAGTGGGAGTCACTCATGCTGCCCCGCCCGTATCCCCGCCCTCCGCCCGTGTCCCCGCCCCCGGAGGGCTCAGGCCCCGCCCCCTGGCTCCCCCCCACCTCCTGCTGCCGAGCCGCAGGGCCGGGCGCGAAGTTCTGGGCAAAGTCCCGGGAACTGGGTCCGCGGGCGCGGCCGGCCGAGGGGCGCGAGCGGGGCGGTTAGAGCGCGGGCGGCCCGGCCTCTCCGCCCGCCCGCCCGCCCGCCCGCCCGCGAGTGGCCGTCCCCGCCCGCCGCCGCGGAGCTGTCCGCTGCGCAGTGCGGGGCCGGGAGCCTGTCCGCCGCCTCGGTGCCGTGGATGGGAGCGGGCGGCCCGCGGCACAGCGCGCAGGTAAGCGCCGGGCGCCGGGCGCCGGGGCCGGGCTGGGTGTGGCGGGGCCGGGGCTGCGGTTTCGGAGCGGAGGGAGGGGGGACGCCAGGCTCTGCAAGCCCGGGCTCAGCCTCCGATCGCCCACGGAGAGCCGGCTGGCGGGGCCGCCCCGAGCCGGGGAGGTCGTCTCGGTGCCGGCGCGCCGGTCTCTGTCTGGATGTGGGTTCCAGGGCGCCCCCACCCTGGAGCTCGGTGCCCGGAGGGAGGTTTGGCTGGGTGGATGGCGAGAAGGCGCCCGGGTCTCGGCCCCGGAGGATGCACGCCCCGGAGCTGCCCCGCCGGGCGGGAGGCACAGGAAACCTGGTGGATGGGGCCGAGCACGAAGCTTCACCACATCCGCGCGGCGGGCGCGGCGGGGGGACCCGGGTGACGCCGGCCTGGCAGGCGCCGCCTCGCCCGCCTCGCTCCCCGGCCTGCACCGCTCGGCTCCGGCCTCCCCCGCTCGGGGGCAGATCCCACTGACATTTCTCACGCGGGGCGCGCCGCCCTCCTCCGGCGATCAAACTTGCCCGCCACCTTTTGCACGCTCGCATGTTTCCTCCTGCGTCTCACACACCCCCGGTCTCCCGGGTGCGGACTGAGCGGAGGGGCCTGGGAAGTTGTCCCTCGGAGTGTCTGGGCTTGAGGCACACCAAGTCCCCCTGGTTGTGGCACCGACCCTCAGGGTTGGAGGACCGGGGTGGAGGCATTTGGAAATGGTTGTAAGCTGCAGATGCAAAGAGGTCCTTCCACAGGCAGGGGAGAGAGTGGGCTGACTTCTCTGGTCGTGCACATTCTACTCCCAAGCACCAGGCAAGGGGAGGTCCCCCTTCTGGCCGAAGGAGACCTGTCAGGCAGGCAGGCCCGAGCTGAAATGGATCCAAGCTCCTGCCTTCCACCAACCTGCTAGCACGCCTCCGGCGCCCTGTTCCCCCCAGCGCTCTTTCTGGAACCGTGTCCCTGGGCGGTGTGCTTCCCTCTGCCTGCCTCCTCCAGAAGGGAAAAGTAGCCATCGCATCCGTCTTGTTTTCTATCACTCTGTCATCAGTGTCAGCCGCAAAGCCTGACACACGCAGTAGGTATGCAAGAAGTAGCTACTCAATGGGGGATGGAAACTTTTCTTTGAAATAGGAAGAACGGTGATTTCATTCCTGGTTTTCATTTTCATGTTGATTTTTTTCCCCTATCGGGAAAATTAAATACCCATAACTATTGTACTATTGATTGAGCACCTACCAAGAGCTGGATATATACTGGGGACTTTGTGTATGTAGATTACCTCATCAAACATTATAGTAGTTTTATCAGCTAGCTAGATATTTCTAACCAGGTGGGGAATCGAGGCTCCAGTAGGTTGACCAACTTTCCCAAGGTTAATGTGGCAGAACTAGAATTCCAGCTCATTTTCTCTTCCGAGAAACTGAAATGTGTTTCCTACCATTAGTGGTCACTAAGCTTTCAGCTTTGTTTGTGACGAAAGCTGTTGCTTAGCCAAAAGAAGATTTGTTGTTTTCTCATTCAGATAGAGTCTCAAAGTCTCAATAATAGTTAATAGCTCACAGGCCAGATATTGTGAGGCTGCCGTAAGCCCATAAAACCCCTTTTAATCTTACAGATGAAGACACTGCAGCCAAGCTTCAGGGACTCGCAGCATCCATAGTAAACGGCTGAGCTAGGTTCTGTTAATAGTCCTTCTAACACTAAATCTTTAGCTCCTTCCCTGCACAGAAGTGTGTCCCCCTCCCGCTGCTTAATTAGAAATTACGTCATTCCGGTGGAGCCCAGTGATACAATATATTAAAAAGAACGGAGGTTGTTGAGCTCCAAACTTTCTGCTGCCAATATCAAGTTTCCAGTTGCACTAACTTTCTGAATTATTGAGGCTCTTCCTGCCGTTTATTTTTGTGGTTGAGTTTATGGCTTGTGGGCCTGGAAGTTGAGGGGCTTTACCACAGGAAGAAAGGGAATTCTTTTTTAAAAATATATTTTATTGATTTTTTTACAGAGAGGAAGGGAGAGGGATAGAGAGAGAAACATCGACCAGCTGCCTCTTGCACACCCCCTACTGGGGATGTGCCCGCAACCCAGGTACATGCCCTTGGCCGGAATGGACCTGAGACCTTTCAGTCGAAGACCGACGCTATATCCACTGAGCCAGACCGGTTTCGGCAGGAAAGGGAATTCTTGAACCTAACTTTAAGTTTACTTTCACCTGAATCTAAAGAGAATCCTGTAGGTTTTGCCTGCTGGGCATCGGCATTGATTCAGCCAAGGAGTTGCCTTTGCTCAGACATTCCTGTTGCCTAGAAAGCTTGCTCAGTGGTCTTCTGTGAAAACCCACATCCTTCAAGACTGAACTCACAAGCTACTTCCGCCAGAATAATCTCTCTGAACTCAATCTCTCACAGCATTAAAAACAGACAAGCCGAAGCCGTTTGGCTCAATGGATAGAGCATCAGCTTGGGGACTGAAGGGTCCCGGGTTCGATTCCGGTCAAGGGCATGTACCTTGGTTGCGGGCATATCCCCAGTAGGGGGTGTGCAAGAGGCAGCTGATCAATGACTCTCTCTCATCGATGTTTCTAACTCTCTATCTCTCTCCCTTCCTCTCTGTACAAAATCAATAAAATATATTAAAAAACAAAAACAAAACCAAAAAAAAAAAGACAAGCTGAAGCCGGTTTGGCTCAGTGGTAAAGCGTCGGACTGAAAGGTCCCAGGTTCGATTCCAGCCAAGGGCATGTGCATTGGTTGCGGGCACATCCCCGGTAGGGGGTGCGCAAGAGGCAGCTGGTCGATGTTTCTCTCTCATCAACGTTTCTAGCTCTCTATCTCTCTCCCTTTCTCTCTGTAAAAAATCAATAAAATATCTGAGACCAGTTTGGCTCAATGGATAGAGCGTCGGCTTGGGGACTGAAGGGACCCAGGTTCGATTCCAGTCAAGGGCATGTACCTTGGTTGCGGGCATATCCCCAGTAGGGGGTGTGCAAGAGGCAGCTGATGGATGACTCTCTCTCATCGATGTTTCTAGCTCTCTAGCTCTCTCCCTTCCTCTCTGTACAAAATCAACAAAATATATTTAAAAGAAAATCAATAAAATATATATATATTAAAAAAAAACAGACAAAAAAACCCCAAAAACAAACAAACCAAAAAAACCCCTGAGAGTCTCCAGTTCACTGATTACTGACCATGTCAGGATTCTTTCTTACCACCAGCACTTTGGTCCTTTCATATTCCCCCCATTTCCTCACCAGACTGCTCCTGACTTATTTATTCAAATGTACCGCCGCCTTCCTTTGAAGGCAGGGCCAATATGCATTTTCTGTTTCTCTCCCTCATATCACTAAGCCTGGTATCCTGTCCAAAGTACAACTTTATTTGGTTATATTCTTTTTTAAAAAAATGTATTTTATTGATTTGAGAGAGAGAGAGAGAGAGAGAGAGAGAGAGAGAAATATCAATAATGAGAATCATTGATTGGCTGCCTCCTGCACGCCCCACACTGAGGATGGAGCCCACAATCTAGGCATATGGCCTGACAGGAATTTACTATAGGAGGCAAGGGAATACTTGAACCTAACTTTACCTTTACTTTCAACTAAATCTAAAGAGAAGTCCTATAGGTTTTGTCTGCTGTGCATCGAACTTGATTCAGCCACAGAGTTGCCTTTGCTCAGACATTCCTGTTGCCTAGAAAGTTCGTTCATGGTGACTTCCTGGTTCACAGGTCTACGCTCAACCACTGAGCCATCTGGCCAGGCCATTTGGTTAGATTCTGTTAGGATATTCTGTGAGAAACGTAGCTGCAATGTGGCATTTTGTTTCCCCACCAGTTGAGCCACAATACTGGAGTGCCTTCAGCAGTTTGTGATGAAGCAATAAAAATCCTAGTTATTCAAGTCCATGCAAAGCACCTATTGTGGATGTTTTCACCTTATCTTATGTGCACCTTTTTCATATAAATGATATTATGTTATTAAAATATGTTAAAATTGCTATGGAGCCCTGGCTGGTTTTGCTCCATGGATAGAGTGTCAACCTGTGGACTGAAAGGTCCTAGGTTCGATTCTGGTCAAGGGCACATGCCTGCGTTGCATGCTCGATGCCCAGTAGGGGGCATGCAGGAGGCAGTAGGTCAATGATTCTCTCTTATCATTGATGTTTCCATCTCTCTCTCCCTCTCCCTCTCCCTTTTTTTCTGAAATCAATAAAGATAGATTTTAAAAAAACTGTTATGGAATTTGAACTGAATTTTTGTCAGTGTCTTATTGATCAATGACTATTTTACATTTTAAACCTGATTTGCCAGGTCATCTATGCACCAGCTTCTCTTAGCCCATTGCCCTGTGTGTTCCAGTCACAGTGAACTCAGTCCAGCCCCGGCCACTCTCCCCAGGCCACACTTAAGGCGCTCTGCCCTCCCAGTTTATGCATCGTCTTCTGTCCTGTAACCTTTTCTTCCTCCCCATGTTCCTCTGGCTGCTTCGCACCATTCATCCCGTTTCAGCACGGATGTCGCTTGTAGGGAGCCCTCCGAGCTGAAGTTGGAGAACACCCTTTGCCTACTCATTTTTAGGGAGTAGTTATCACACTGATTGCAGTTGTTGGTCACTTGACCGAGTCTTCCCTGAAACCACTGATTCTCATCTGGCTTACATTAGAATCACTTAGGGTCTGTAAAAATCTTCCCTGACAAGTCCCCACTCCCAGAGTTTCTGGATCAAGTGGCTTGGGGTAAGGAGGGTTGTTTTCTTTTTTAAAGGCGTGTTCTCAGTGTATTTTATAGCTGGATAGTACTCCTTCAAACAATAAAAAAAAAAAAAAAAAGAAAAGAAAAAAAATTCCTCTATAATCAGTGGAGCAGCAGCATGAGGAAGTCGAAGAATTTCTCCTTTAGGTAGTCAGCTGATGCTTTGTCTTGTACTTGGTGAAATATTTTCTTCACCTTGGAAAAATTTAGAAAATGCAATGGTAATTTCA